TTTCAGCCAGGAAGGGACAACTAAATGTATTTACTGTCATCAGCTTTCCCTTTAGCTTTTAAAAAATGTATTATTTTTATTTTATATCTATGGGTGTATGGCCTGCATGTGTATAAGTGTACCTGTGTCATGTAGTGCCTGCGAGGTCAGAAGAGGGTATCAGATTCCCTGGAACTGGAGTTAGGGACAGTTGTTAACTGTCATGTAGGTGTTGGGAATTGAACCCAGGTCCTCTGCAAGAGCAGTCAGTGCTTTTAACCACTGAGTCATCTCTCTATCCCTACCCTATAGCTTTGTGGCCAATTTAAGGCTCCAGGGTACTTTGGTTCATTTTTTTAAACTATTTTATTTTTTGTTTTTGTTTTTGTTTTTTCTGTATTTGAGTGCTTTGCTTGCATGTATGTAAATGCACCCATGTTGTGCAGTGCACAGGGAGGCCAGAAGAGGGTGTCAGATCTCCTGGAACTACCATTACACACTGTTGTTGGCCACCATGTGGGTGCTGGGAGCCAAACCTGGGTCTTCTGCTAGAGCAGTAGGTGCTCTTAACCACTGAGCCATCTCTCCAATCCTTCTTCTGGTTCATTTTTAAGTACTAACAAGCAGTTAGATGATTACTTCTGAAATTTTAGCATTTGAGAACTTGCCTCCTTTCCCAATGTCTTAACTCCTTAACTTCTCCAGAAAATTGTTCATTCTATGTCTCTTCAGATCTTGAAAATGCCTGAAGACTCTTATCTTGGTGTTGTCAGCCTTGAATGAGGAAGATTACCAGTTTTATGGAGCATTCTTTGAATGATTAACATGTCTATGTGCAGAATTGAGCAAGAATCTGGCTCAAAGTTTTTTTTAAAATTACATTTTATTTATTTTGTGGTGTGCGTGTGTGCATAGGTGTGTGTTCCATTGTGTGTGTGTGTGTGTGTGTGTGTGTGTGTGTGTGTGTGTAGGGCAGAGGACAACTTTCAGGAATCCATTCTCTCTTTCCACCATGTGGGACCCAGGGAATCAAACTCAGGTCATCAGGTTTGGCAGCAACCACCTTTATCTGTGAGCCACTTCACTGGCCCCCAACCCGAAGTTTAAATGAGCAAAAGGAGAGATGCACAATGAAGGCAGAGATGCCACGCTTTTATTTACGTGGCAGGCCCAAGTAAGGAACTAATGCTTTTAGTAAAAGCACCTTCTCGGCCCAATACAATGCCTTCTGTACTTTTATAACCCCACCATCCAAAAACTGTTGATGGAATTGCATTGTGAACTCTCAGAAAGGAGGAAGTTCTGAGGTATGGGATTGAAGGTCAAGGGAATATTTACCCAGAGAGACTAGTGATACCTGGCCTGCAAAGTGAGGTCATGTGACTCACCCACACTCATTCCACAAATACGTTAGCCTGAGTTCCTATCACTTACCAGGCTCTGATCTAGATGTTGAGGATTCACCACCTATGACAATCTTTTGTTTTTAATCACATTTGTGTGTGTGTGTGTGTGTGTGTGTGTGTGTGCATGTGTAGAGGTGTACCTGCACGTCACCACACGTCAGAGGGCATGTGGGCAGCTTGCTGGAGTTGGTTCTCTTCTCGTACCATGTGGGTTCAAGGTCCTCAAGCCTGCTTGCACCTCTACCTGCTGAACCATCTCACCAGCCCTCGTGAGAATTCTTTGCTCCCATTCCTCTCTGTCCAGCACAAAGCTTAGGAGAACTCTCTGTGAGAGGTCTGCACTATTTGGCAGGCAGGACCATCCAGGTCTTCTCTCAAGCCCCCAGACAATCGCCAAAGCCAACCAGTAGCACTGTGTCTCTCAGGACACACAGTGGGGCCCAGGTGTGTTTATTTTGGAGTGGGCTAGATGAGAGATCTTTCAAAAACTGAAAAACAACCAACTCATTTCCAAAACCTCAACTACCTGAGGCAGAGAGAGGTGGGTGGAGATGTTCCTGTTATTGTTTGAGTTTGGGCCAAAGGGAAAAGCTTGGATACCAGCCCTTCTTGGAGCACAGAGCCTTTTCCGGAGTTCATGGAAGGCCTGTGGTTGACCTATTAGAGGTTAGGCAGAGCGTGGTTATAGAGGGCCTGACCACTGGCAATCCTACCTCCCCTAGAGACACATCTTCCCAGTGCCACCTGGCTGTACCAAGATCCTGTGTGGCATTCCTGGAAGGAATGCCAACACCTACCTAGTTATTAAAGAATTCTCTTTGATTCCCACTAGGCCTAGTTTTGAAGTTTGGATTCCTTTTGGATTTTGTGGATTTGTAGCTTTCCACAGAACCCACTGAAAAATGAGAACAGCACATGCAGAAGCTTGGCCCTTCTCCCCTTCCATTGTGGCATCAAAAGGACAGTACGTTGATTCATTCAGTTCCCTAAACTATTCAAGACAGGAAAAAAAGAGCTTTCCTTGTATGGGGTTAACAGCCACATGTCAAACAAGAATCCAGTTAGATTCAGTTGAAGTGTGGTGAAAGGGAAATACTATGACGAAACGGAAGATTTCGATTCCGGGAGGCATCTGATTTGGGATTTTTTTTCTCTGCAGAATAAATATGCCACAGCCTTGAGCTTCTCAAATTAAGGACTCTCTAGTCCGTTCCTCACACTGCCATGGGCAGACTCCCCATTAGGCAAGCCTTTGTTTAAAACTTACTAGTGGCGCCCCACTGTGTTCCCTGCTCACACTCAGCAGCCTGGCCCTGTTGCCTGTGTCCCTCCTCACTGGGCCTGCTGTGCTCATTCATCTCTGGATCTTGGTACACGCTGTTCCATCTGCCTGGATCAACTTCTGTCTAGACAGTTAGGTCCCCTCCTTGATGTACCTCCCTGCCACTTGCCACTTTATTGTAATTGCTCAATGACCAAATCTCTCCATTGTCACTGTGGGGGCTGGGTCCATATTTGTCTAGTTTGTCTCAGGATCCCCAGAGCCTAGTACAGTTCCTGGCACAATTTAGGAAGAGGAAATGGACTCATCAAGTTAGACTTTGTCAATCTGAATGATCTCTGTGCTGCCTCAAAAGCCTGGAATAGACTGAGAAATGGAGGAGGAAGAAGATGGGTGGGGGTGGGGCAGGCTGCCTGAGGAGCCTGGAAGGCATGCACCCCCTTCTTCTCTCCGCAGCTTACCCAGCTCCTGAGCTGATGAGTAAGATGCACAGATTTTTTTTTCTGACCACAGAAGAAGAGACTATAAAATTCAGCTTCCCATCTGGTTCTTCATGGTCCAAGAAAATACAGCAATTGCAAACTCCAGAGAGACAGGCACTCAAATCATGAAAGCTTAAACCTAGCCTGTCATAGCATCCCCCAGAGTAGCATGGATTTGACTCTGGAAGAAAAGTGAAGGAAACATCATTTACTCTATAAGGATCAATTCCCCAGTGGTCCTCAGAGGGGATGAGTTTGATGTTGCCTCATAGCAATTTCCCCCTCTGGCCTTCAGAGCCAACCTGCTCCATTCAACAGCTGGTCCTTGATTTTCTTTCTACTCATGCCAACATGAGGCGTGATCCCTCCCAATCACAAGGCCCATCGTCAATTTGCTTCGCAGGCTGGCCGAGAGTCGAAGCTGGCCTTCCAAAGGGAGTGCTTTAACATCTGTCCTCATCCACTGTCCAAAACCTGGCTGCTACTTCAATGCAGAGATGATGTATTTGCCCTTTAATGATTTCTATTAGAAGTAGGGTTAACTGAGACTTGCTGGTGAGAGATGAAAAAAGAATCAACTCCTTCTGTATCTAAAAACAGCATAGGAGGCACTTGGCGGGCTCGGGAGACTGTTATTCTGCGGGCCCATCAGCCCAACCCTGCCTCAGGCAGGAAAAAAAAAAATAGGGCAAAGGTTCTGAAAAGCCACCTATAGACTGGTGCCCAACCAGCGAATGGGATGTTCAGAAATGTGCTAAAAATGCTAGGTCTGGAGAGATTTGACATCCAGCTTGAAGGCTTCAGGCAGTTTGGATAAACATCTAGACTTTGGGTACATTTCTGAGCCTACTCAATGATCCCTTTGAAGTTTATCCAACTTGAATAAACCCTCCAGAAAGACGAGCCAGTAAAAAGCCTTTCTTTGGAAAGCCCCCTGGATGTGCTTCTTCATGGGGCAGCCAGCCCATCAGGATGAGTGATCTGAGAAGTGGAAAAGAAGCTTGAGACAAGATGTTCCTATAATGTTCCATTCATTGTATTTTTTTTCTTCCTGTCCTTTTTACTTATGGAGGATATAACAGATGGAAAACCTCTGGTGGACTTTGTGGACCATGAGCTTAGCCTAGATATGAGCACCTCTTGTCTTGGGCCCCTTCTCACTGACCGATCCCAGCTACTTCTGGAGGCCCAAGCTGAGATGTACACCGTGCATGTTCAAATAACAAAAGGCACCCTTTGCAGTCTAGAAAATCACAGCCCGCAGCTGGAGCATTGGTGACAGAGCCCAGCACAGTACAGGCAGGAGGTTCCATCTCATTTCCCAGAGAAGCATTCCCTAGTGGCCTAGGCAGGGGCTTGCAGCCCATCTTTCCTCCTGTTTATGCAGGTTTTCTAATCACAGAATTACTGGAGCATTGAGAAGAGCCCATGTACTTGAAGGGGTGTCCAGGTGGATGGGCACACCCCGGCACCGGGTGGCATCTCCCAAAGTGCAGACTGGCTCAATCTTACGTCGCACAAAGGTGGGTGGGCACCAAACACTGAGTTCCCGAGGGAATCAAACAGCAAGCAGCCTTTATGAGTGGGAAGTAGGGGTCTCCAAAGCTACTTTTGGTTCACTGGAGAGGATGAGCAGCACCTCTTCCCTAACGAGGCAAGTGTGCAGTGCAGGACAGAACATGGACCCACAGGACCAAAGGATGAATCAGAAGCACCTGGAAGGGGAGCTCAGCAGGGGGTTTCCTATGCCACAGTACCCCACAAACCTACAAGCTGACCATAGACCATGAGGGACATGCTCTTCTGTAACCCTGGGACTAGACGGGGAAGAGAATGACAGAGAGACGTGGCTGCAGCACCAGAAGAACCCCACTGGAAGTGGGATTACAGATAGTTTTGTTTCTTTATTGTTAAAAAAATATTAACAATGAACACTAACAACAATAATAGTACAAACATTCACAACCATTCACAACCAGTCCTGTACCCTTTGATCATTTATTCCCAATGGAGTCCTTCATCTAAACTCAGGTGGTGACTTCAGCCAAAAGGCCCCTTCATGTTTTTCATGGGTGGGTACTGCTGCTCCATTGGCATGGCCCCAAAGCAGTCTGAGGGGTTGCAGTGGCCAGCCTTGCCTGGCTGGCCTGTGGGTCCTGGGGGGCCAGGGATGCCAGGAATGCCTTGCTGGCCCATTGGCCCTGTTGCGCCCATTTTGCCATAACCTGGAGGTCCTTGAGGACCTGGGGAGAGAGGAGTCACAGAAGGGAATCAGGAGGCACAGATCACAGAAGAAGAGACAACAATAGTGACAAGGGATACCTTCATCTCATGCATATTTCTCAGATTGAAACATGCTCTCATGAGACCTAATCTGACCCTCACATTGATCTCACAAGGACAACCACACCTCTGGCTAGTTTTATCGACAGCTTCCATGTGCTAGGCAAGGGGCTGAGTGCTTTTTCTAAGTCAGTGAATCCATAAGACACTTCCCTGGAAGATGATACAGGCTCAGAAAAGCCACACATGGGTAATTATTGGGGTGACCTCATGAACCAAGAGACTTCAGAGCCAATCAGACTTTGGCCACTTTCTCATCTTGGAGAGTGACTCTGAGGATTTAAATGACCTCATCAATGTCACATAGCCAGTAAGATGCCAAGTAGGCCTTAAACTTGGGGTCTTGGTCACCACTGCATGCAACTCTCCTCACACTACATCATGCTAGCCCAGCTTAGGACTGAGGCAGACACTCAGCCCCTCTCTCCTACTACCCACCAGGCACTAACAGAGTGTCTTGACATGGGAGCATTGCTGTAAGTGGTAATTAGTCAGCCCATAGTTATTTGGCATTCTATATGATTATGTTGTCAAAGGAACATAAAGGGGGCTCCGCTGCTCTGGATTCAGGGTCTCAAAGGCTGGGTTCTCCTACCTGGGGGGCCAGGGAGACCATTTTCTCCTGCAATGCCAACACCAGTGTCTCCCTTTTCACCTTTTGTACCAGGCAATCCTGAGACAAAAGAAATGAAGTAAGTCCTATCCCAGAGCAGAAAAATGACACCATATTCACAGCAGACTCATGAAATGCTCAGATCAGCATCCACAGAACTGCGTGTGCCCCCTGGGACCCAGAAGGTAGAGCTACCTCTCATTCCTGGCAAACCCTGTCGTCCTTCTCTGCCTATCTGACCAGGGAGCCCAGGTGATCCTGGAGCACCTGGCCGGCCTGGAGCACCATCCTTCCCTGGGGGCCCTGGCCGGCCTGGTGCTGCCGCCATCTCCATAGGGAACTGCATCCTGGAGGTGTAGTAAGCCATCCTCTCTGCAAGCACAGACAAAGGCCAGGTCACTGGATGACCAGTCACTCAATATGGCTTGTAGTCAGGCCACCAACATCAGATGGCCTTTCTTCAGAGGGCGTCAGGAAGGGAGTCATGGGGTGGTATTCTGAGGGTGCTCCTGTGCCCTGGCCTCCATATGGATTCCAATATAGATCTTTCAAAACCACAGATCTGATTTTTTGCATTTCTCTTCTCTAATAACCATCACTAGTTCACCACTGGCTTCAGAATATGGTCTAGACAGATGTCCAGCCTCTTCAGTTCAACATCCGAGTTACCCCTAGGCTTCAGCACATGGGCAGGAAAAAAACAAAAAAAAACTTCAAACAAACCCTAGCAGTGCTTTCCACTTGCCGCTCACCCCTCAGAGCGCCCTCTGTGACAGAACAAAAAAAAAACTTCAAACAAACCCTAGCAGTGCTTTCCACTTGCCGCTCACCCCTCTCCTCAGAGCGCCCTCTGTGACGGCTCCTTTGAAATCAATTTTCTTAGCCTCCTTTGCTCAAGTGGGGACTTGGGAGGTCAGGAGAGAAACATTTTATCTCGGAATAGAGCAGGTGACGAGGAAGGTCTGATGGATAGGTGAACACATTCCTGTCACCCTGCTGTCTGTAAATGTGTGGGGACGGAAGGGCAGGACACGAAGGCTCTAAGAAAAGGAAGCTGGGGCTGGGTGAAGAAGTGTCTGGGATGGGTGAGCAGTACCAGCTGCCAGTTACCATCAAACATTTTAACGATCTCTTGTCTGATGAACCTCTTGATGTCATCATAATTCACCACGTCTCCCTGAGGACAGAGAAGAAACCTTGCCTCAATTAAACATCCAAGCTTGGCACCTTTCCCTAGGGAATAGACTTTATTTCCAGCAATAAAGGATGAACAGGAGGGCAAAGGTCCCGGAAGCCTCCCACAGAATCTTAATCCAAAGTCCTATCCACCCTGAAATGGTACACCACATTTTGTGGTAAAATACAATTTAGGGCTGAGGCAGGGCCCTGTTGTTCCCAGCACCCCACACAGAGCTAAGAGCCACCTGTGTGGTAGTTAAGCTCCTTCTTGAAGAATGTTCAGCAGTTTCTAAAAATGACCCATCCCTTAGCTCATGTGCCTGATTGGTGGGACAGTGCCCATGGTTATTGGCTTCCCCTTACCATAGAGCCTGGCACACCAGGCAGTCCAGGGCTACCTGCCGGCCCTGGGGACCCAGGGTGGCCTCTCTCTCCTGCAGGACCTGGTGGCCCAATAGGTCCCATGGAACCACTCTTGCCAGGCCCACCAGGCATGCCAGATCTTCCCTTTTCTCCTGCCTGTCCCTTCTGTCCTGCAGGTCCAGTGTCACCCTACAAGGACAGCATTATCAAGTGTTTTCAAGTCTGTGTCACAATGTCTGAGCAATCTGCCCCTTCCTCAGCTACCACCCCCTGCTCCAGCATTTCCACAGGTCTTCCTGCCTCACAGCCCCCCGAGCAGTGTTTCTGGAAGGCAGTTCTCATGCTCCTTACTGGAAAATCCTGATGGCTCCTACCTGCCCTCAGCAGGAAGGCCCTTTTTCCTGGCCAGGCAAGAGCATTCACGATGGTCCTGGTCCCGCTCACACTTCACACCTTCCTCATCCTCATCATTCTCTGCTTCTGCCAGGTTGCCTGAGTCTTTGCTCTTTGGAATGCCTCCCTCCCTCCCCACAGTCCCAGCACCCCAGCGAGTGCCCCTCTACCCTCCTCTACTGCTGAATGCTTCTGCTCTTTATAGAGCCTCCCCCCAATTTTGAGTCAGAGTTGTGGGCTCCCCTCCTGGGGTCCCCAGTAATTGTCTAGTCTTCTGCAAAACTTGCCATACCCTAGTGTCAGTGTGACTGGCCGGCGGGGAGTGCCACTGTTCAAGGGGCTTCTGTTTACCCCAGACCAACACAGAGGACCAGGAGTGAGCCAGGGCAGGCAAATGTTTAGCGGATGAAAAAAAAGATTTCCATTCCCACAGCCACAGCTGGGACAGGCCAAGATGAAGAGCGTCCAGAGGTAAGGTTCCATCCCCCTTTTCCTGCCCTTTGGCTTTTCTGGGCCTCCTCTGTGGCTAAAATCACAGCTTGGAGCTCCAGAGTGACTTCTCTGAAACCCAGTCGGTGCCCACTCACCTTCGGGCCAGGAAGTCCATAGAGTCCCTGCTTTCCAGGGGGTCCCTAAAAGAAGGAGAAGTTCAGAGTTAAGTCTGAATGGTATCACTAAGGCTCCCTGGGGAGGTTAGTACAGTAGAAAGACCACCTTCCTCTGCCGTAGGCTACTGACCGTGCCCAGCTGGGCTCTGTATGAGAAAGGATGACAGCATCCCTGCCAACTGAGGGGCTGACAGCCAGAAGGGAGGATGCTATCCCCTGGGGCACAGCCTTGTTTGATCATGTTGGCTAGGACCCTCATCACAAATAGATGTGACAAGAAGTCAGAATGGGACGACCAGTTTGGAACAGCAGGGGGCCTGGCAGGAGCTAGGGCCTGAGTAGGCTTTGTTTGGAGTTTGTTTTTGTTACTGTTTTTTTCTGACTAAACATAGGGTCCCCTGGTTCTCTTGGAGCAGTGTATTACAGGCAATCATCACTCAGTATCTGTAGGGAACTGGTTCCAGCATCCCCATGGATACAAAAATATGTCTCAGGTGCCTTTTGTAAAATGGTGTGGCACTTGGATATAACCTACAGGCGTTGACTACGTGTCCTAACTCATCTCTACATTAATTATAATGTCTAGTAGAGCATAAATGCTAGAAATAGTTATCATACTGTATTGTTTAGGGAATAACAAGGAAAAAAGTGAGCTGGGAGTGGTGGTGCACACCTGTAATCCCAGGACGCGGGAGCCTGAAGCAGGAGGATCAAACATTTGAGGCAAGCCTGGGCTTCATGTTAAGTTCTGAGTTAGCCTAGGCTAGTCTCAAAAAAGAAAGTCTGTATATGTTCAGTATGCATGCAATCCTTTTCCTGAATATTTTCAACCAATCAGGTCGACTGAATCCCTGGACGTGGAAGCGATGGGTCTGAATTTTGTCAGAGATAGACTTTTCCCATGCGAAGTGCTTACTGAATGAATGAGGAAGGAACAGGGCAAGATGGGGACCAAAAGGAGTGTCCCCAAGGGACAAGGAGACCCACAAAACAGTACCTCTTTCCCAGCTGCACCGTCTGAACCAGGTTCCCCCTGGGGAGCAGAGAGCAATGGAGATGTAAAAAGCTGTCACCCAACATGGTCTCACAGGCCTAACACCTTGCTCAGACCCCTGGTTCCACCAAGAAGCCCCGACTGACCCTGCGGTGGCCCTTCCAACCCTTGCTGTAGCCTGGCCCTGGAGCCCATACCCACAATTCCTGGCTGAGGTCTACACGGGAAGAACAGAGGTGCCTTTTCACCTGGGATCTGAACATACCCCCTGGTTTTAAATGTGCATTAAATATTTGTTGAAGGATCACATGAGCTGTGAGCCTCTGTCCTCAGTGCTGGAATGTGCTGACCTCCCTCCCTCCCTCCCTATGACAAGACAAAATAGGCTGCCTACAACCCAGCCCCTGCCCAGGCCCTTCTGGTGGGCTGCTGGGAAAGAGAGATTTGTGGTTACAGGACAAGTGATGGACATGTATCTGGGGCCCTGGCAGCTCCTGAATCTGCAGGCAAGAGGGATTCAGGAAAGGAGGACCCACTCAGGGGCCTTGGGCAAGAATCACAGTGAGCAGAAGTGCTGACCTCTGGCCTTCTGGGAAATGGGCCCACTGACCATGTTCAGATGGCTGGAGTCATTTGCCATATCAGGGACCACCAGCCCTAGGGCCTTTGCTATTTTACCCTGGAAAAATGTCTGCTTGGTGAGAAACACATCACGGGCTAGGAAACCTGAGCCCACTCTTTGGCTCTCTCGGAGTCATCTCCCCCTGATGTAGATCCCTGTCTAGAGCTTTAGAGAGAGGCAGTATTGCAGACTGGCTAAGGATGCAAATTCTGCAACGGAGCAGGCTGGGGATCAAGTCTCAGCTCTAAGCAGCCTACTCAGCCACGCTGAACCCCCACGTCCTCATCTGTAAGCCAAGGACAAGTGGATCTACTAAATGGTGTTGCAGTGCAGATTAAGATAAAATGCACATCAAGTCTAAGCTATGGCTCACTCTAGCACATGGTCAGTGACCAATATAGCATCGCTCTGAATGCTAAACAGGGGCTGAGATCAAGTCTGGCTTCTGAGGAGCTCAGAAAGTTACAGTAATAGCACTATATTTCTGGTTCCTGACATTTTCAAAGACTTTCTATGGATACTGACACGCTCCCCTGGGGCAGAGGCAGGGGCAGCACAGGGACCAAGTCTCCTCTATCTGACACCTCATTGAGGGATCCACATCAGGTTGATGGTGTATCCTCAGAGGCAATGACCTTGAATGCAGTTGGCTCAGCACTGGCTTGCAAGGCTTGTCTTTCTGAATGTAATATGATCTCTAGGCACAGGCCCCACCCAGCCATCTTGCCATGCTAATACCCTCTTCTTCCCTAGAGACCCCAGGTGCACAATACAAAGCCAGCTGAACCTTTCCCTAAGCTGCCCTCTAAGATGTGGAGTCTTACCGGGGGACCAGGGTGTCCAGGTGTGCCAGGTTGGCCTGGGAGGCCTGCCACACCTCTTTCTCCAGGGGCTCCTCGGTCTCCTTTCAGGCCCTAGAAAACAGGAAGGTCAGTGGAGGGAGGGAGAAGAAGAGTCCATACAGCCAGAGGCAGGCACCCCATCATGTGCCAGGGACCATGCCTCTCTCACCTCCCAGGGACTGTAGGGACAAGTGGCACTACTACCTGAACCTGTGGCATGGCCCTAGGATGGCCTCCAGCCATCTCTCAAGCCCTTTGCCACATTCTAGAAGGGAGTTTTGGGGCAGGTGAGAGAAGCTGATGGCAGAGGAGGAGGGGAAAGCAGCTGTTCATCTCTCTGGCTTCCTCCAAGAGGAACCCATAGCAGAAAGGCAATATTCCTAGCGGGAGTAAGGAGAGGAAAGTCACTCACCGCGGTGGACATCCCAGGTGGACCTGGCTGGCCTGGAGACCCCGGTGGCCCCTAAGGAGAGGACAGTCAGGGTATGGAAAGGGCTCTAATGGGGTGGTGACAGCAGGAGCAGCCAGTCCTACACTGCATCATTTCTGTTCTCTTCTGGAAACCCTTTCTTCCCTTCTGGCCTTACACTTGAGCTTCTGCCAGGAGCTCTGGTCCCAGAGCAGAGGCAGTGGCAGGTGGGAGGGCGGGGAGCTGAACACACAGGACCCTCCAGCCCAGTGCTCACTAACTGGTGTACCTGTAGAGGATAGCTTGGGGGTTATAGTCAGAGGCCTAGCACACAGGACAAAGGAGGGGCTACTACTATAGCCCCGGTATCTTCTGAGACTCCCTGCTTCCTAATGGCAGCCCTACTTCCTACTGTTCTATGGAGGAGAGAAGACCAGCAGCCAAGGGTCTGCATAGCAGGGGTGAAAGGCAGGGAGCATGTATTCCAGACCCTACAGGGCAGGAAGTGATGCCTGAACTTGTGGCCCATCCCCAGGAGGGACTCCAGCCATCTCTGAGGTTTTTTGCCACATCTTAGAAGATGGGGATCATTGGAGCAGATGAGAGGCTGACCCTGATGTCCACATGGAGAAGCTCTATCGCTGGATACCCTGGGGAGCTATGACACTCAAATCTTCAGGGATGATCCTCCAGTTGCTCCTGGGGCTGTGCCTGAAATCCCACATCTTTAACTCTGAATCACAATCCAAAGGTCACCTCCTTTGTCAAGAGTGACATCTCTGAATTCCAGGGCACTCAAGCTCTCTTCCAAAGCATGTTTTTCTACACGTTTATCCAGAAAGTTCTGAGGGCAAGGTTCTATTCTACACATGGGAATGTCTAACACTGGCACATCGCACATCAGGAGGCCTGGGCTGGACAGGGGTGGGGGAAGGTCCTGTACACCTTCATCTGCAATGCCCCCCCCCCGTGAGTATCTACTGGGACTACTACTGAATGTGAAGGGGACTAGGCTAGACCTGGGATCCTGAGAATAGGGCCTCTGGACTCCTTGAGATGCATAAAAATGATGATAGGAACCAGAGAGCTCCTTTTTTTGGTCATGAACTATTTTTAATGTTCCCAAACGCCTCCTGGAAATTATACAGGCAGGCTCCAATAGCACGTCAGTGTATTCACTTTCCCTGGAGCCCTATCAGCTTGGTGCCGTCACACTGATCAAAGGCACCAATTGGTAGTGGTTTGTGTAACTGATGAGAAAACTAGATGGGAGATGCATTATTGCCTAATAGATGTTCTCTCTGATTCACCCTAACTTAGTAAAAATGCCACCTGCCCATCTAGTTGCCCAGCCAAATGCAGGAGTCATCCCTGGTTCCTCTCTTTCTATCACTCAGGCTACCTTCGCTTCAGACCAGGGGAACAAGCCCTCTACCTCTAAGCACATTCCCGATCCCTTAAGCCTTCCATTTCCTCTCCATTCTCACCACCTATCCATCCTCCTGGCCCTCATCCATCCCTTCTTTGACTTTGTCTCCTCCAGCCTCCTGACCCATTCTCTGAGGTGTCCTGGAAGCTCAGCTTTCTAGATCCCACCTTGTATTCTTTTTGAGTTACCTACCAGCCGTGCCATCTTGTGGTTCCTCAGACACACCACGTTCCTGGCTGCTTTTGGTTCTGTGTATCAGTGTCCCCTCCACCTGGGACACTTCTCCCAGGCCACTCGATGGCTGGCTTCTCCCTTTATTCAGGCTTCTCCTGTAAGGGCTCCTCTAAAGCTACCTCCCAGTCTCTCCCAGCAACATCATATCACTGCTTGAAATTATGTGTGTGCTGTACTTGTGTGGAAGCCCCATGAGAATGGGGGACCTTGTTTATCTTGTTCACTACTGTGTTCCTGATGCTTGGGACAGGGCCTGGTTTGAAGCAGGTGCTCAATAGTCACTTGTTGATTAACTCAATGACCTGTGTCTGATAAGCGAACCTGAATGTGCCCAGGGAACACCCTAAGTAGTGACAAGTTTGGGAAGCACTGAATTAGATGTGCCCAAAGTCCCTCAAAGCTCTGCAAGGTTAGGGCAACTCCTTTGGTCACTATTAGCTTGCCCCTACCCCATGATATTCCAACGCTTAGAAACAAGAGATAAAAACAGTTTAACTCACAAGATGGCCTGGGGGGCCTGGTCGTCCCTGGGGTCCCATGGCACCAGGCTCACCCTACAGGAACAGAAAAAGGAAGAGGTGACCCAGAAACAGATGTACTTGGGTGGCTGCTAGGTGAAAGAGGGCTGAGCAGAGCTGGGGGTCGGATAGAGCCAGAGGGTCAGGGGTAGGCTCTGTACTTCAGACTCCAGCCCTCCAGGACCTAAGAAAGCCAGGCCTGCCTTTTAGATGGATGGCCCAGCAGCCTCTAGGGAGGTGACCAGTTATAACTCAAGATGGAGAAGATTCACAGCATGCAGTGTGGGGTGAAACTTTGCCTCAAGAAGACCAACACGAGAAGGCAGACACTTTGCCACTGAAGAAGAGGCTACATCCTGACTCAGTGGACCCCAAAGCTCTGTGAGGACAGAATGTACAGAGCCTGGTTCTCACCTCTGCACCTGGCCGGCCATTGCTACCAGGAGGGCCTGGTTTGCCACAATCACCCTAGAAGAGAGAGGGGGCAAAGTTGCTTGGTAACCCCACCCCAAATTGACCCTGAATCACAGCCATCTGATAACTCTGATAGACAACAAAGTCCTGACCCAGTCTGCCAGGCCCCGGTGGCCACAGGAAGCTAGGATGCTGGAGTAACATCTCAGCCAAGGGTCAGGTGGTGGCACCCCAACCTAGGCTGGGCTTCCATGTGCCTGGTGTGGGGCATGAGGAGAACAAGGAAAGTCTGCTGGGCAGAGGCCGCCCCCCTTACCTTAGGTCCAGGGAGGCCAGGATGTCCTGTTTTACCCTTGAAACCCTAGAAAGGAAAGCAGGGAGCTTCGTTTCTCTCACCTCCACTGGAGATGTTCCTTAGACCTTCTTGCTCAGGCTAAGTGAATGGAACCCATCACAATCCTAGCATGATGACCATAGCACATGGAGGACGTGAGCAACAGCTGGGAGGAACTCCATCCTGCAGCTCAACTTACCGGGGGTCCCATGAGTCCAGGAGGGCCAGGGGGACCAGGGTCTCCCTAGGGAAAGAGAAGGGACCATTAGGAGGTTTGGTCCAGTCTGAATCCAGCTCATTCCCCACTTCCTCCCCTTCTCTCACTGTCCCAGAATTTGGTGGGGACATCGTGTGGAGCAGAGGGAAAAGAAGAATCTCAGCTTGCCTCAGCCTCTGACTGGTCCCAGCCCCTTCCTGGGCCTTGGTTTTCTTTCGTTTGGGTACAGAATGGGGCTTAACCTTAATGTGCTCCCCTTTGCCCTGCTCCTGTCCCCAGCAAAACTCAACCAAAGAACCAAGGCTTGCTCCATTTTGTCATGTCTACAGCCGGATTCTTTCTGAAACCCAGCCTACTTTCTTCAGTTGTCTGCATCTTGGGATATAAATGGCATCTCTGTCACCTTCCTGCCTTTGGTAAAGCCAGCTCGCCTAACCTAGTTAAGGCCACAAGGAGGAATGAGGGACCCAGAGTCTCTGGTACCATCAGGGAAGTGGGGTAGGGCAGGGCACTACAGCTTACTTCATCGGGAAAAAGGAGCGGAGGGTGACACCTGCCCTCCCAGCCCCATCTCACCCTCAGGCCAGGCTTGCCGTCCTTCCCATCCAGCCCGTCCAGCCCAGCAGGGCCCTGCAGACAGGAGAAAGGCATGTTTGAATGTGTGCTGGGGCCTAGGAGGAGGGAGGCCTGACCCAGGCCCAGGATCATGCCACTCTTCATCCAGCTCCCACCCCTACCATGCACATGTACACCCATATAAGCATTCCACCCCCCATACATGCCGAGTGAAGGGGCACACGCTCACCTGAATTCCAGGAGGTCCCGGTGGCCCAGGAGAACCCGGCAAACCTGATGGACCTCGAATCCCCTCGCTGCCCTGAAACCAGCCCCCCAACAAAGTCAATAGGGCCTTGCCTGGACCTGGGGCCAAGGATGCTGGGAACCCTGAAAGTCAGGACATCTGGCTTCTAGCCCCAGTTCTGCCCTGGCTTAACTGATGTATTCCATGTGCTGTCTCCCCAAAAATATGTGTCTTTATCTGCAAGGTCCCCTTTTCCTCAGTGCTTTGTGAGGCAGAACAGAGCCTGCTCAGACCAGTCTCTTCTTAAGGTTGTCCCAAGAGCTGGCACATGGGTCGGTGGATGGATTTAATGGATAGCACTCTAATAACATGCCACGTTTGTGGGTGTTGATGCCTCAAGGTAAAAGAAAAGTGGGGAGGCCCCTGTCCTCCATGAGCTTATGGCTCCTTGGGTCATAGGGAGGCTGAAGTCAATGGCAGAGCAACAGCCTATGTGTTCTGTGTAAGAGACGTGGTAGTGGAGCTGGGGGCATCAGCTCATGATGGCTGGGGGTCAGAGGAAAGTACTACAGAAGTGTCACTGGGTGGTGGGCTGAAAGGTGCCTAGGATGGGGCAGGAAGAGGAGAAAGGAGAGGCTAGTGGGAACTAGGAGACAGAGATTTGCAAGTGGTCCTGTGCTTGCCTGGCCTGGGTGTCAGGACCCATGTGATGGATGGGGTTGGAGAAGAGACTGGAGAGGTCACCTGTGCTCAAAGCCGTCAGGGTTCTCGGGGGAGCCTTTGCGCTGGGGGCATGAAGTGGGTTCCTGGCCCAGAGGGTGAAACTCCAGAACCTCTTACCATGTCTTAGCCAGAGCATTCTCACTTGTGTCTGTTTTATAGTTGAGGCTTTCCAAGAGCTTTTGTGTAATCAAACGCCTAGGCATTGCAAAATGAAGTCTGAAACACTGCTACAGTCACTGGGGAGCCAATGAAGGTTCAAAGCCAGGAAATGATGAAAACAGGTGCGTGAATTGGAAGGTGAGAAGCCCAGGGAAAGGTTGATACATTCCCCAGTCCAGGGTGGGGGTGGAGGAGGTTAGAGGGAGGGCTGCTGTCCCTGGAACAGTGTCTGTAGGAGTGGCAGAGTGACCAAGCCTTTGTAAAGGAGAGCAGGCGGTAGGAAGGTGCATTGCAATGCTGCCAGCCACCAGGAGAGGGCAGCACAGCCCTAGCCAATGTCAACCCTACCAGGAGTTGTGATGGAGAGCATCAGTCCAGTTTGGGATTCTCTGCAGTGACCAGGTTAAGCAGGACAGGACTGCTACCGTCATCCTCCACAGTAAAGTGAGGTGAAGGCAGCTGAGAGTCACCACAGCCCCACTTATGGCTGCTGGGCACTGGCTTAGGGAGGCAGTAGCGGGGGGGGGAGCAGGTCTGTCTTGCAGCTGGGGACTCAGCTCTGCTCATAACTCTCTATGTGCCCTGGGTTGCTCCCTGACATTTGGGTCCTTTAACTGTACCTCCCTCACCTGTACAGTGAGGGGTTAATGTGTGACTTCAGAGGAAAGAGGCTCCCCAGAGGCTGCAGGCTTTGCCCCTCCCTGTGGGCCTCCTCATTTATCCAAAGCTCAGAAGTCAAGCTTGGGTCTTCTAGAGTCCCCACCCATCACACAAGGGAGCCCCAGGCTCAGTTGAACTGGGATGTCAGCTCTAAACCACAGCAGGGCTATATGTTGGGGTCAGTCAGTGGGGGGCTCTAAGGCCCCTCTCCACCTTGTCACAAGATCACAGGTGACCCCTGTATTTTCTGGACCCTTGGAGACAACATGAGGAGGGAGGAACACTCCAGGTTTGTCCTAGTTCAAGGGTGCCAGGTCTCACTCTTTCCCCTTGGCTTCTTGCCGTTCCTGCTTCTGACTGAGGAAATGAAACTGGCCGCAGCTGGCCTGTGGCAGTCTAGTCATCCACCTCTACCACTCCTGTGCCTCCTCCCAACCTGCACTTGTCTTTGCCCCTTTCCTGGAACATGAGAGCCATTGATGATCAGAGGCTGCTAGAGGATATCAGGAGGATCAGGGAGGGGGACAGGGCCATCCAGGGAGCCAGTGGTTGGCAGGCCAGCTTTGATGCAATGGACTTGGTCTGTGAATGTCTTGAAGGCCTGCATAGGGGCCAAGAGCTGCATGGCTCAGATCCATGTTTTTAGCAGATTTGGGGCTCTACTCACCTTTTCTGCTTGGGGGCCAGGTGGGCCAGGAGCTCCAGCTTTGCCTGGGAATCCTGGGGGGCCCTGTACCAACAAAGGAGCAGGCAGGAATGAAAGTAGCGCCCCACCTTCTTTCTTCCCTCCTGTGTGTTTCACTGTTAATAGGGCAGATCTCATCTTTCCCAAAATACTACATGCTCATATGTCTGCATGGCCCTCTGTGGCCACCCACGAGGCCCTGCTCTTCTGGTCTGGTTCCTGGGATCTATCCTGCCCACCCAAGCTGTTCCTCCCACCTCTTCTCTCCCCTCCTCAGGCCCATTTTCATCCAGTCAGGCCTGCCCCTCCCCATGCAACCATATCACAGGGAACTTATGTGTCTCTACTCACCGGTGGGCCTGGAAAGCCTGGCTGGCCTTGAAATCCCTAGAGGAAAGAAGTAAGGGACAGTGTGCTGGGCCAGCTGTGTGTCCGGCCACTCAGGTAGAAAGAAAGACAGGTGGGGCAGCCTTAAGCCCATAGGCCTTGCCCTCCCATCTCCCCAAGATGGCCAGCAGGTGAGGATCTGGGAGGGAAGTGGGAGGGATGAGTGGGAAAACTGAAGCTGGTATCCAGCTCTCTCCCCATCCCCATCCAGCTCCCCAGACATCACTCACCTGGTCACCCTTCTCACCAGTATTCCCCTGGGGTCCTCGCTCTCCTCGGGGACCCTGTCACCACAGAGAACAATGCAGCTGAAACCGATCTTCCTACCCTCAGGCTCTTGGGAGGGGCCAGGGGGTTCCCCTTCCACATCTCCCTGGCCCCCTTACTCACTGCTGGGCCTTGGGGACCTGGAAGGCCTTCAGATCCTGGTGGGCCCTAGGGACTCAAAGGAACAGAATCATCACTGGCGAACGTGAGGGATGGGGTCTGGGGAGGGTAGGGCATGTGGTAGGCATGTCCTGGGCTGACAGGATTCTCTGCTTGGTTGGTCCCTTAGGTTTCCAAGAACCAGCCTGATAACTAGCCCTGTCACCTCCTATCCCATTCCAGCCTGACCTACAAACAGCTGCTGATCTCTCTTTCTCAAGTACAGTTCTGATTATGTCACTCTCTTGCTCAAAAACCTCCTATAGCTCCCATCTGTTAAGTGAATGAGGCGTACACTTCCTACCCATGCTGGGGTTTTGAAGCATCCTTTAATCTGTCACCAACCGCCCCTTCCTGCTTCACTTCCTTCGCCCCTTCCTCTGTTGGACTTTCAGACTGCTAGTCTCTGAACATGCTCAGAAGGTTTATACCTCCAGGCCTTTGCCATGACTGTTCCCTCCACCTGGACTGCTCACCATGGAAAACCTCTCTTCTAGGTCTCTTGAACCCTTCGAGAATCATTGCTTGGCTCCAAGTTGTTCCTGTTGTGTCCCACTATGGCCTCTGGCTCTGTATGAGCACTATGTAGCTCCTGCCACCCTCCATTCAGATCTAAAAGCACTCCTCCCCAGGACCTCCCTCGCCCTCCTCTACACAGCATCCGGCACACTGTGCAGTCCTTTTCACTGTTCTGTATGCTCGAGGGGTCTCGTCTCTCTTTTCTATCTGTTTATTCATCTGTTATCTACTGCTGCAGGGCAAGGCATGCAGAGCCAGCTTTGCTCAGTGTAGAACCCTCAGAAGGATGTCCAGCACCCAGCAGGCTTAGGAGACAATCTTATTACAGAACAAAAGTGTGATGGACTTTGCAGAGTCCCACTGAGGCCTTGCTGAGATCTGTGAGAAGGAGCGGTAAGGCTCCAGCCCCAGCTCTGCGAATCCCAGATACGAGGCTTGAGGTTTCTCACCCCAGAGACTTCCCAGGTTCCTCCACCACTAACTCCCTAGCTGGCCGCAGGACCCTGGTAAGTCGTGTCACTCATGAGCCTGTGGCCTCATGTGACATCAGTCCCCAGCTCCTTCATTGCCTGTAGGGCCCCATGAGGGTGGCCATGCTGGCAACAGAGTTCCAGGCCCTGGTTCGCCTGCTTAGGAACAGTTGGGGCGGGGGGGTGTGCTGGCTGCCAGCTGCCTGGGTCCTTCCCCTCCTCAGCAGCACCGTCTGCATGAAGCCTGCTGGGATTCTCCTCACAGCCTCCGCCTCCGCAGCCACCAGTCTGTGCAGAGGCGCAGCTGGAATGACTCTGGGGCCAGGGCAGCAGGGGTCACAGGCTCCTCCTCCCAGGCTGCTAGGAAAATCTCCAGCCCTGTTGATGTAGGAGGCACCCCGTTTGAAGCCCTTCTTCCCATCCCCACATCCATGCCCTTGCTGTGACAACTCACCGACTCCCCCTTCTCTCCCGCAGGCCCAGTGTAGCCTCGCTCCCCCTTGATGCCCTGACAAGCAACAGAGAGCAGAATTAGCCCCATGGCTGGCCCATGGTGGTGCTAATATGAGGGGTGGAGCTGCAGCTGGAACCCAGGCTGGCTTTTGGAAGCTGAGGGCATCGAGGAAGCAGAAGAAACGGAGGCTGGCGTGGCCTCCCATCAGCCACTGTGGCCCTCCATGGAAAGTGGGACACGCTTACCCTGTGGGCTCCTTTGTGGGGGTGGCACCTCTCGCTATCTCCCCCACGCTGCCAACCCCTCTGAGGAGGTGAATCTCAGTTTTTGCTGAGTCCCAGAGTGGGCTCGGCTCTCTCCTCCTTGGCAGTGGTGGGGCCAAGCCACATTACCAAGGGCACTACAGTGGAGTGGAGGGGGGGTGGCCTGCATGAATGGCATGGCACAGGCTGAATGTTGGAGGAGGAGCCCAGCTGAGGGCTGGCCCAGCCTAGCCTTGACCTGACCACCAGCCTGTACCTCTGGTACCCCAAGAAGTCAGAGTTCCCTTACTCACGGGCAGTCCTGGGGGGCCCATGGCACCTGGGTAACCAGGTTGTCCCGGAGGACCCTGCAAAGAAAGGCAGACATGATGATATACCAGCTTCCTAACATTTCTCTTCCAGGGGCAAAAGGAGGGGCCAAGCTAGAACACCTAGAGCTGCTATCCAGCAGGTGTCCACCTACCCCAGGGCAAGTACCACCTTGGGCTGTTTCCCAAGCCCAGTTCCCTTGGCCAGGTGACAAGCCCCAGGCTCACCTAAAACCCTGGGAGCAGAGCAGGAGAGATGATCCAGAGTGGGGTGGGGAGGACCAGGTGTATAGGAAGGGTACACAAGCACTACAGGTGAGGGAAGGAGAGGACCTCTAGGGCACATAGACAGGAGAGGTGCATCCCAAAGTACAGGGGTGCATAGACACCCTGCTCCTTCTATCTGAGGTGTGTGAAGCCCCTCACTGTGGGTATCAGGGCTGAAGTTTTCACCTCCCACCTTCCACTCACTGGCCGCCCACAGAGTGTCTCCCCAGGGCTCCTCAGGCCACTGCTTCTTACCGGCTGTCCTTTGTCTCCGGTCAAGCCCATGAGGCCTCGCTCTCCTTGAAGACCCTTAGAAGGAGAAATCATAAGAAACTGCAGAGGGTAATCCCTACCCAGCCCTGACTTCCTCGCCCCATGCTTCTCTCTTCCCGCTGTAAGCAAAGGCAGAGGTCACAAGTGCCATCCAGAGTCCCTAGCAAAGTGACTGGAGTGGATGAATGTCAGGGGTATAAATCCACACATAGGATGACTTTCAGGAGCACACCTCTCCACCAAGGGAGCAATGGACAAGGCACCTTCCCGGTGGCTGTCACTAGTATGTCCTGCTGTGGAAACCATCTGGAGTTTAGGAGGATAACAAGTCGGGTGTGTACTCTTGAGGGGAAACTGTAAGAAGAGGTGCTCCCACAAATGATACTCCCCATAAAAGTGTCACCACATGCCCAGAACTTACCTGTTCTAGTCCCCACCCTAGCCCAGAATCACCATCTTTTAGGGATACAAGGGAGAGGCACAAGAAGGCTCTCTCCAGAGCAAACGTAGCTTAGTAACATGGAAAGGGGTATCGGTTCCTATCAGAGCAGGCACCCCTTCCCCTCGCTCCTCCCCCGAACATCCTAGATCCAACACACCACTAAAAACACCTTTTCGCCCCCTTCTCCCTTGTGCTCTCAAGAAAAGATGACCAAACCTTTCCACAACACAAGACAGATGGCTAGACAGACAGATGGCCCCTTCACCCAAGCAAGCAGAAACAGACATGGCCCGGCCAGGGATGAGGACATGGGGACAGATGGAACTACAACAAGGGGGGGCCCTGGTCCCTGAGCCTTCACCACCAGGGCCCAGGAACACAAATCTAACAAACAAGAGGATTAGCTTCCATGACCCAGGAGGGAGCAACAGCAAAGACGGGGTGACTTAAACGCACCTGTGACGATGACAAGGCAGAGCAATTAACGACACCTGGCAGAAAGAGCAGCCCAAGGCCCTGGGCACAGAGAGCAGGGCCCTGACACCAGAAACCTGACTGGTGGGTACCACATGCCCAGCCTTGGAGCAGACTGGGCCTGGAGCCAAAGGAGAGGGAAGAGGAGGCCGTGGTTTCCTCTAGCCGAGGGGAAGGATGCACGCAGGGCCGCCTCCAAATCCCCAGGGTGCCTCTGGACAGCCCTGCCATGCAGCAGGGCGGCCAACCTGTGCCAGCCTGCAGTGTGAAGCCCTAAAGCTTTGGCATCTCCACTGGGCACAGAGCCAGGTACCTGGCAAGGGCCCAAGAACTACTTTCAGCAAATCTTCAGTCCACACGGCAGGTGGTGGGAAGCAGGAGGCAGAAGTGAGAAGGGAGAGATAAAGGGGCTCCTGGAGGCACCAGCTTCCAGTAAGAAGGTAAAAAAGGCCTGAAGGACTTAGGGGGAGTGGCATGTGGGATGTGAGGGAAAGGAGAGGAAAACTAGGAAGGTGAAAGTGAGAAGATGGGAGAAGGTGGAGCGGCCTCGGGAGAGGGAGCATGGAAAGAAGTCGGACTGGGCTGGTGTCCAAGCAGCGGGGACCTCAGGAAACCTGTGTCGTTAGCTACCATGCCTGCAGGGGACAACGAACAGGAACACAGAAGGGGAGAGGAGAGGGCACCACAGGAGGGGGACAAACGGAAGCCACAGAGACTTGGCTGGCGGGAAGGGGTGCTCAAGTGGTGCTGGGTTCTTACAGGCAATCCGGGGGAGCCAACAGCACCAGGAAAACCTGGGGGGCCCTGGTGGGAGAAACAGGTAGGTCACATCTCACAAGTATAGTCACCCTGGGGTGACCTGGAGGCCTAGTCTAGGGCTGTGGGACATAGGGGAAGGAGGTCCTGGGGGGGCGGTTCAAGGCAGCTGAAAAAGAGCCTTATTCATTCATTGTGAGGCCCAAAAGGCGGCTGCTTCTCCCTTAGACTCAGGATTCTCTACAGATAGAGACACCAGTAGCCTACCAAGTCTGAAGACCCTTCCCCAGGCTTCTCATGTCTGTTGAATGCCTCAGCCAGAGCAGAAAGCCTCTTCCTTTTGGTCTTGCCCACCCTGCTGCCACCTGACCTCCAACGGCCTCAAATGGGTAGTTCCAGGGCTCCTAACAGCAGGTTTTCCTCCAAAGAACACACCGCCAGTATTTTCTAGTCACTTCTTTCCTGCTTCATCAACATATGTTGAGGGCTCTGGGATGGATGCCCCTGGTCTGGCCTTTGTAGACTTCCCTAGAGATGGCCCCACAGAATGATGGAGGGCCACAATCCCAGATCCTTGTAGGGACTAGTGTTAGAGTGCCCAGAGAGAGGCTGGCTAGAAGGCTACCAATGTCGATGGCTTCCCAGGAACACCTGGGTCCCTAGTGTGGTACCAAATGCTGCAGGAGGGGGTGGGGCAAAGACAGTGGCAGGGCCACAGGCACTGGGGCACAGCAGGGCACTTCCAGGGCATTTCGGGTGGAAGACCACAGTCCCCAAAGATGCTGTCATGAGAAAAAGGTGAGAGCAGTGTGGATGTTCCTGCCTGGCTTCTTGGAGATAGGGCAACAGAGCAGTGTGTGCATTAGGACCCTCTGAGGGGTTGTTGGGCACGAAAGATACTTACAATAGGGCCGGGAGGCCCTGGGGAGCCCCTCATTCCAGGTGGGCCCTGCAGAAGAAGCCAAGGGAAATGAATGAAGAACCTGAGGCCCCACACAACCCAGGTCACAGTACTTTCCTCCAGCTCACAACCACCATAAGCAGGAGAGGGCCCCCGACATTAACGCAGGACCACTTAGCTGGTGTTAAAATGGCCTTTCATTTGGTTCATTCAGTCATCCAACAAACATTTATTGAGCAGCTATTATGCACTGGGCACCAATCCAGGGCCTGGGAACATAGCTATAAACAAAACATTAACATCTCTGCTTCAAGGCACTGACGTCCTAGAGGCGAGGTGAACAGTAACAAAATAGAATAGGGCTGGCACAGAGTTGGTGCTCAGTCAGTACCTATGGAATGTTCCTGAAGGAAGTAGATACACAGCATATTGGATGGTGATGAGTATGGTGTTGGAAAGGGGCTGGGGCGAGGGGATGCTTTGCAGGTGTTCCATTTTAGAAAGGGAGGTAGAGGAGGGTCTCACTGAGAAGATAACATAACCTGATTGCTGAAGGAGTTGGGGAGCAGGCCAGGAGAAGAGGGGCCTGCAGAGGAAACGGCAAGGACCCAGAATGCCCAGGAAGCAGAGTAGGCCAGGTGGTAAGGGACCCCAGGCCATAAGAAACCTAGAGGGCAGGGAGAGCAGGAATCCCAGCGTCTTTGATGCTGGATGAGGGCCTGATCCTTGGTCTTACCTCTTCTCCTCTCTGACCTGGTAGCCCTGGAGGACCAGGCAGACCAGGGCTCCCCGGACAGCCAGGTTCTCCCTCACCGTTGTCTCCCTGGGGCAGAGATGAGATGGTAGGAGTGAGTCTCATGGTCAGCGAAGAAGGGAGGGAGGGATAAGAGAAGGTAAGGGCTTGCTCACCCTGGCCTCTTCAGCTCTTGGGCGCTCCCTATCTGTGAAGCACTGAAAAAGAGAGGCTCTGTAGGGCCTCAGGTATGCACAGGACACCACCCCAGGGCTGTCAGCTGCCCCAGCCCAGTTTCCACCTACATACAGCTGTCAGGGCCAGCACCAGGGAGCCCTCCCACACCAGGGAGCCCTCCTGTACCAGGGATGCCCCTCCCTAGTTCCTACCCGGGCACAGTTGTCCAAGCCTGGCACACCAGGGACACCCTGGTCTCCCTTCTCTCCTTTCTCCAGAGGGATGGCTATGCGGGCAGTCAGGCCCTGGGCGCAGTCCCCACAGATGCTCTGTGAGGAAATGGGGAGGGAAGAGGTACCGGGGTCAGAGATGGGCAGGAAGGGCCTATTAGGGGATATCTTTTCAGAATCCAGGGCCCAGGCACCCTGCCCCGTAGTCCTCCACCCACATGCTTTTCCTCCCCAGACACATCCCTGCGGCAGCTCTGCTCCGTCCTCAGGGGACCCAATCCCAGCAATCGGCTCTGAGTTTCCTCCAGGAAGAAGCTCTGGTGAGGCCAAGCCAGAGCACTTTTCAGACAGGCGTGTGGGAGGAGGTGGAGGGACCCACAGAGGGACCATCTGTCCCGGCTGTTCCTGCAACCTGCACCCGCAGCGAGGACAAGCCCCAAGGATCTAGGATGGAAAGGCTGGCTCCAAAGCCAGCACCTCTGCCTGGGGAGGCCAGGAAACAGCTGCAGGAGGACACTCCTGGGGTAGGCCTGGCCTAGTCTCAAGCTCACCAACTGTCATGGGCTCCCCGGGCCACTGGGCCTGGATCATCCTCCCTACAGGAAAGACTTCCTCTTGCTCAGGCTTTCCCTTCTTTGAGTCTCAGAGAATCTTTGGGTCTTCTCCTCAAAAACTAGTAAAACTGGCCTCTAGCGCCAAGGGGACTTGGGAGCTCGGAGGTTCCCTGTGACCAGGCATGGTGGCGAGGCTTGGTGGCTGGGATCCCAAGTGGGAGCCCCATGCTCACCTTCACCGTTCACAGCAACACCCAAGGATAATGGCTGTCATTTCCTCAACACCCAAGAGACCATGCATCTTAATGGGCCTTGGCACATTATCACATTCAATCCCCAGGACGCAGCGAGGCAGGTAATCGTATAAGCATTGTGGAGATGAGAAAGCGGATACTCAAAGGAGGTGGTATGATTTGTCTAGGTAAGTGTCTAGGTAAGATTGGTCCCCATCTGTGTGGAGTTGGCATTGCCTCTAAGCTATGGATGTGGTGGTGGCTGGAACTCCTGGCAGCCTCTTCAGGCTTCCACTTGACCCCTACTACAGGCTGTGCTCAGTTTATGTGTGGGCCCTTTTGAGCACTTGATTACAAAGCCAACAGGCAAAATGTTAGAAGTGTGTCACATCCACACCATCACTGTAAGGGGAGGGACTTGGAGAACTCAGGCTGCATTGAGGTCTAGGAGAGAAGACTTGGGGAGAGGGGCAGGGATCTCATTGCTACAACCCCACTGTGATCCAGCTCATGGCTGCTGCCAGGTTCATCTAACTACCTCCACCAGGTGCTTCTAGAAAAATATCCGAGGTTCAAAGCAGGGGCAGGGCAGCAGCCCTCATACTGCATTGTCATTTCTGGAGGTGGCTGAGCAAGGGAGGGCTGTGGGAACCTTGGTTTCCAGGGTCAGCGGGACCAAGTCACAGCCCTCTGGTGGGTCTGTGGACCAACTCTCCTCCCTCCCCAGCCTGGAGGCCCCTTTCTGCACCACAACTGCTTCTCAAATCCCTCTTCCTACTGGAGTCTTTCCAAACTGACACCCAGCCAATCCCATCACAGAATCCAACCCACACAGCCCCCTGTCACTGCACTGTCACCTCTGCATTCTGGAAGCTTCTGGGCCCTACCCTGACGTAACCCAGGTACTATGATGCTTTCTTGCCAGCTGCCGCAAGTAGGCTTCAGGGCCTGTTCTGCCACCCGGCATGTACCATGGGGGGCCTTCACGGGATTCCTTTAAGCACTTCTATAGCAAATGTTGCCTGTGCTATTGTTACAAGCCAAGCCCCAGCCAGACCCTCTTACACAGATGCTTGGAATACACTTCCCTTACCAAGAAGGACCCAGTGAGCTCAATCTGCTGCTGTCAACAAGGTGGCATGCAGCTGAGCACCCACCGTGACAGTCTACATTGGAGACACCCCACCAATACCTCTATGTGCCCTATTACCTTGAGGACGTGTTGCTCAATGGGTAAGGAGCCCTGCAAGAGATAAACAGACAAGGGTTCAAGCAGGTGGGGAAGGGAGGCTTATGCAGCCTGGGGGAGTATCTTGCCAGTGGGGTTTCTCCCAGCCTTGAGATGGGAAGAGGAGACTTCCACCACAGTTAAAGGGCTCGCATGGCCAGTTCAGCCCCAGGAAGGACAGGGAAGATGGCAGCCAGTATGTCCTGGCTGGTACCCACCAGCTCGGCAGTGAGCCCGGGTTGTCCTGGCAAACCATTGATTCCAGGCATTCCCTGCAGTGGAAAAAAAACACAAGTGATCAGACTCCTCTCCCTAGCCTAGAGCGCCTCCTCCCTCCCTCCCCCTCACTGGCCCCACTGCACAGGTGAGATGAGAGCTCTGGCCAGCACAAGGCCATCCACTATTCTTAGTTGAAGGTTTCAGACAATTTGGAGGGGGAACTGAGGAGGTCCAGAGTGCCCGCCCCCAAACCAGTCCCATAGGTGTACAGCAGGTCAGAAATTGGGTGGAGGTTCTTCTGGAGTGATAACTACTGTGTTTTTCTATCTTAAGTCATTTCTGTATTCTCTCATTAATTATCATAGTTTCTTGGGGAAACTAGATATTTTATCTCCTCATAAAAACAAAATGAAGAGCAGAGTGCAGTAGCATACGGTTTCAGCCTCAGCACTACAGAGACGGAGGCACATAGATCCAGGACAGGGATCTCTGTGAGTTCAAGGCCAGCCTGCACAGCAAGTTCCAGGCCAGTCATGGCTAGATAGTAAGACCCTATCTAAGAGAAAGAGAGGGAGAGGGAGAGGGGAGGGGGAGGGGGAGGGAAACTTGCCAAAGATCGCAGGCTGAGCAAGGCATATGGCTGAGATTCGAGCAAAGAACACTGGCTCCCAACCCTTCCTTATATCCACTATTCATGCCTCATCCCTTGAAAGATTCCCTAGAGCACTGAATGCTGATCAGAACATCCCAGTGCAAGTGCAAGTCCTGACAACCTGAGTAACTTCTGGAAAACTACTTAGGGGAAAATAAATCCAACTCTGTGCCTCAGTTTCCTTATCTGTAAAACAGCAACCATGTGTGGTGAGGCTTCAAGGAGGTGATGTCATGAGGAACCTGACACAGAGCCCGGATGTTCAGAGGTACTCCTGTTAAATATGTGCCACCCAGCCTCTCTCTCCCTTGCATATTCACAATGCACATTTGCATATTAAATACTCTGCCAAGGCAGGGAGGATGTTCCATTTTGAATCCCCAGCATCCAACATGGAGGAGTTGCACATTAAATACGTGTTGAGTGAACGTACTGCTGCCCAGCCTGCTCCTCTCTGCGCAGGATTTCCTGGGCCTGCTCTGAAATCTGGTCTCCCTTCAAGACTTGGCTCCCACCACCGAACACCTCAGCTGTCCTGAGTAATCAGTCCTTCCTATATAAGGCAGGTTCTCCCAGGCCCGGGTCACTACACAGCTCCCTCTAAGCACCCACCAGCACCATTAGGGTTTAGAGCAGAGCCTGGCACATGGGTAATGAGTGTTTTTGTTTTAAGACAGAAGCAGCCAAGCTGGCCTCGAATTCACTGCATAGCTGAAGATGATCTTCAACTTCTGAGTCCACTGCCTCTACCTCCTAAGAGCTGGGATTATGGACATGCGCCATCACACCCAATTTATGTGGTGCTGGGACTCACACCCAGGGTTGCTTGCATGCTAGGCAAGTACTCTACCAACTGAGCCACATCTCCAGCCTTATCATCATTCACCCACTGTTCCACTCCCTAGGACTGCTGTGTTAATTCAAGCCTGAGACTGAGAATCCTTTCTTACTCTCCGGAATCATACACCCTCGTGTGGTTCTCCTATAGAAGTAGGAATACAGTTTGAGTTTGACTACTTGCCAGTTGCATAGACCTTAGGCACATTTCTTAACCTCTGTACCTCAGTGTCCTCATCTGGGAAATGGATTGGGATAAAGTGTCATAGGCAGACAGTAGAGCTATGTAGTCTTGGGCAAATAAATGCCATGCATCTCTGAGCTTGTTTCTCTGCCCACAGAGGAGCAGGTTGGCCCTCCTGTGCCCATCCTGGCACAGAGCAGTTGTCTGTTTGTGGCAGCCTCAAGTTGGTCTTGAGCGCTTGGCATCAGATACAATTCTGGTCATCTGGGATCACACTCGGCACTCTTTCCTGTCTTGTTCTCCCAGCGTGGCTTGGCATAGTTCACATTACACCAGCTGGTTAATGGGTCACTTTGAAATGACTCAGCCTCCCCAAGCAAACTCCATGCCTCCTGCTGATAGATTACTGTGTGCTGGCACTACACGGGAAGCTCGGACACTTTTAGCAAGTACTGAGACTGTCAAATGTATGGTATGGGCTCTGGCTCCTGGTGTGTGAACCTCTGGGAACTGTCCTGAAAGGTAGAGAAAGGGAGAAAGAGTTCCACGTAGGGAAGCCTGGCTCTCTAATAACTGGCTGGATGACCTTGAACAAGATCCATCACCTCTTAGTGTGAGCTGGCCCAAGGGGTAACACCACCTTCCATCCGGGTTGGTGTAAGACTCAAATGAATGAGAGAACACATATAAAATAGTAATAGCACTTGCCAGTGTAGTAGTGATCAATTCCTCCAGAGCACTATGTGTGAAGAAAGATTCCATACCCTTTACCCATGAACTCTTTTTTTTTTTTTTCAGTCTTTTTGAGACAGGGTCCCTCTGTAGCCCCAGCTGTCCTAGAACTCACTATGTAAACCAGGCTGGCCTTGAACTCACAGAGATCCGCCTGCCTCTGCCTCCCGAGTGCTGGGATTAAAGGCGTGCGCCACCATGCCTGGCCTTACACATGAACTTTTAAAAAATACCCACAATGGGGGCTGGAGAGATGGTTCAGTGGTTAAGAACACTGAAAGTTCTTGCAGAAGATTGGGGTTCGAATCCCAGAACCCACATGGCAGCTAACAACTGTCTGTAACTCCAGTTCCAGGGGATCCAATAGCCTCTCTGTCCTCCATGGGCATTGCACAACATGGGTGCACTTACCTACATGCAGGCAATACACGCATACACATAAAAATAATAATAAATAAATAAAATATTTTAAAAAATAAAAATACCCACAAAAAGCCCATTGAGGCAGGTGCTATAATCATCTAACAGATAAAGGAACTGAGACACCAACAGGTGAAGTAACTTGTCCACATCACGCAGCACATTGCAAAAGTGATATTCAAAGTGAGGCTGCCTGGCTCTGAGATGCAATTCTAATGGGACTGGGACTCAGCTCTCAGCTCCTAATATCCCATCCTTTACTCTCTCTGGCCTCCTTGCTATTCACCAAGCACATTAGGGACATTTCTACCTCTGGGCCTTTGCACCTGCCACCTTCCTTGCCGGGAGCATTCTCTCCCCCAGCAGGCTCACTTGCATTCCCTTTGTCTTGATTCAAAGTTCTCCTCCTTTTATTTTATTTGTATGTGTGTACACACTTGTGTGCATGCAGATACATGTGTATGTATATGCATATGCATGCTGAGGCCAGAGGTAATACTGGTGTCTTCCTCAATTGCTTTCCACCTTACATTTATTTTATTTATTTTGTGTGTGGGAGTGTGCACACACACAAGGGCAGGCACATGCATACATGTGGAGGTCAGAGGACAACTGTCGGGATTTGATTCTCCCCTGTCACCTTGTGGGGTCTGGGGGATAGAACTCAGGTCATCAGGCTTTCGTGAAAGTACCTTTACCTGCTGAGCCATCTTGTCTGCCTTCTACCTTATTTCGTGAGACAGGGCCTCTCACTGAACCTGGAGCTCACCAATTCAGCGAAGACTGGCTGACCAGCAAGTCCAAGGATCCTCCTGTCTCTCTCCCCAGTACTACGGTGACTGTGGACCACTGTGCCCAGCTTTTCATATGGGTGTGAGAGATCTGAACTCTGATCCTTATGCTTGCATGACAAGCACTTTACCAAGGGAGCCATCTTCCCAGCACCAAATGTCACCTTCTCTTCAGGACTTTATAACTGTCTTCCCTGCCTTCCTAAGGTCTAGCCCCATGTCTAGTTTCATTTTCTTCCTGAATACATGTCACTTTCTAGCAAACTAGATTTTATATTCCTTGCTTACTGCCTGGCTTTCTTGCTAGAGCGTAAACTCCATGAGGACAGGGGCTCTAATATTTGGTCCACTGCTACATCTCATCATCTAAAACAGGACCAGGAAAAAACAGACATGCAGAATGTGTGTTGCGTGCACCAACATTGCTGCTCCAACAGTGCACTTTGTACTGGTATACAGCACTGTCCTAGATTCTGGGTTCCGGTCAGGACTGGGCTTGGCTCCCATTAGTGGGGTGCCCAGGCTAATACACAACAGGACAGTCCTCAAAATAGGGCTGAAAGTGCACAACCCTGGCCCAGGAATCTGTGGGCCCTCCATGCCACTCTGGGAAGCAAGAACACAGAAGAACTATGACAGGCCTGTGGCCGCAGAGGGCGAGCAGTGTACTTGGGTCCCTGAACCCTGCTCCCCAAACTCTCTTCTCCTCCGTTTACCTGCAGCCCAGGCATTCCAGGGGGACCTGGTGGTCCGGGGACACCTGGGGGGCCCTGAGGGAGAGAAGACAGAATCAGAGGGAACCAAGAGCTCTGCCACACCACAGAGGGCAGAAGTGTCAGGGTGGGCAAGCTGCGGGGCGCTGGCAGACAAAATGCAAGGTGGAGACAAGCCACACACACCTGCGGGCCGGGCTGTGAGGAGCTGCCCATCCAAAGTCCCGGAGCACCCTGGGTAGGAGTGGGGGGTCGCAAAAGAACAGGAGAGGTTACAGGCAACGTCTACACCAAGCATAGAACTGCGTGGGGAGGCAGCTGGCTGGGGCATAAAGCCCTGGGGATCCTGTGTCCACTAGATCCCCAGTGGGGAAGGCAGGGAATGCGCTTTGCATCACTCACCGGCATGCCAGAGAAGATGGGATCTCCCCGAGAGGGGCAAGAACACTCCCCTGGTTCACCCTGGAAAATACAAAAACCTTGGTTAGAGGTGGCAAGGACAGAGGGCCCTCTGAAAACCTCATCTGGGAAGTGGCACAGGCTATAGAGATGCCAGGGTTTAAATCCAGGGTCAAGCCCTCAGGCAACCCATGGGTCTCAGCTTCCTCATCTGTAAAATGGGGATAATGACTCTAACTGCATAGAGTACTGTACCAGGAAACAGGATGGACTGCATGTGGTATGCAGTGGTCAGGCCTGCCACATGGTGAGTGTTCAGTGAGCAGTGGATGGCTGCTGTGCTCCTGTAGTTTGGTTAAATCACCATCACCACTTTCCACATATTTTCACTGCAGCGGTGTGGCTGCACTCTGTGTAGCTCCACTCCTCAAGGCCTTGCCTGATTCTATGCCTTTCTGTCCTTGTCCCTTACCTCTCTGCCATCCTCCCTTCTTGCCTCATCTCTGACCCAGCCCCTATGTGAAAGTACAGCTACCCACTAGAAGGACCTCAGAGTTCTCTGGTATCCTGAGATCCTGGTTGAATCCTGGGCTAGCAACATGAAGTGGGGGCAGGGGGTAATCTATGGCTCCTGGAATCAGGGATCTTGTGGACAGCAAGGATTCTAGGATGTCTCCTCCCAACCCATCCTCCAACCTGGGCAACTACCATATGCTCCTAGGATCCTAGGAGCCAGTTCTCCAAGAATCCCAGGTCCTTGGGACTTACCTTCTCTCCTCGAGATCCCTTTTCACCCTGCAGAGAAGAAACACATGGAGGTGGCTAGGTGGGAGGGGGAGGGGGACAGTCAGAACCCTGTTGTCTGAGGCACCATACTCACTGGTATCCCTTTAGCTCCCGGACTTCCAGTCTGTCCTCTCTGCCCATCTTGACCCTGAAGGGAGAGAGCCCGGGGTTGGTGAGCATGGCTGGATAGCAGCCAGCCTTCTGGTCTGTCTGGGAGAAGGGTGACAGGATAAACAGAAGCAGTGCTAGGTTCCCTGACACTCATGTTCCGAAGGAGAGACTGAGGGCAGGAGGTAAGGAGAGGAGGTGGGAAGGAGGAAGGAGAGACTGGGCTTCCTAGCACCAGACATTGTCAGAGAACAGTGAACGGAGCCCTCCTGACCCTGCAGGACAGCACTTTTGTGCTGGTGCAAGGATCTGCGGGCCCCAAGTCTGAGGTCCAAAGTTCCTGCTTCCTTCTTTTTCTCACTACCAAAGTCGCCTCTGCAAACTGAGCTGAGGGAATCACCTTTCAGTCCTTGTTTTTTAAAAATTATTTTATTTATTACTTATTATTTTATGTGTATGAGTGTATTGCCTGCATGTATGTGAGCTTCAGATTCCCCTGGAACTGGAGTGAAGGACTGTTTGTAGCTGCCATGTGGGTGCTGGGAATCAAACCCAGGTCCTCTGCAAGAGCAGTCAGTGCTCTCAACCCCTGAGCCATCCCTCCAGCCCCCTCAGTCCTTGTTATCAACTCTGAGACACTGTCACTAAACAAACATCACACAGCTAGTGAGTGTGAGGAGGGACCAGGAAGACTCCTGGATGGAAATCAGGAGAGCAGGGATCTAGAGGGAGGTTCTGAGAAGGAATTAGCTTAAGCAAAAACACAGATCTACTGAGGCCCAGAGAGGTCAGCCTCACTACACAGCAGACACCACCACAGCTGCCTTCCTGTGGGATGTTCCACCTTTACATCTGGATCTCAAATCTACCCTGGGATAGGTCTCTGTTTCTGTCCTTGCCCTGGGATCCTGACTGTCCAGTTCTGCTGGACAAAGCACACAGGCCATATGGGCCTGGGCAAGTTTCTGCTCCCTCTGGGCTTTGGCACACCACCAGGAGGAATCTATCAGTGTTTCCCAAACTGAAATGACAATTTTTCTAGGATCTATAAAGATAGGGAAAGGATAAGGTTCACTAGGCTATTTTCAACATTACCACAAGCTCAGGAAAAATGCTACATTTGCCCAGGGCCCAGCAGGGCATGGGCTGGCTGAAAGGTAGCATTTCTTTGATTCAGGCTAAAATTATCATCTTGTAAAATTCTAGTGGGTTCACGTGGCGTAGAAGCTGACTATTAGACAGGTCTTTGATGACTAAAATGAGAAAATGCACTCATTATTACTTAATCTATGCAATTTGTTCAACAGACGTGCCTTTTAAGCACAGGAGTCATTGTCTTGAGAAGGGCACAATAGAACTTTTCCATCACTATAGATGCTCAGTGGAACAGTGCTGGGTTGGATGGTCCCTGGCGGCTCCAAGGTTGGAAGTAGAGAGTGGCACCGCCTCTGACTCTGGCTTTTGGTTTTGTTATATACTGAATGGGAAAATAATAGCAGTTCCTGGCCTGTTGTGGTGGCTCATATCTTCAACCCCAGCATTTGGGGGAGCTGAGACAGGAGGCTGATCAAAAGTTCAAAACCAGGCCAGGTGTGGTGGCCCATGCCTTTAATCTTTAATCCCAGCACTGGGGAGGCAGAGGCAGGCGGATCTCTGTGAGTTCAAGGCCAGCCTGGTCTACATAGTGAGTTCCAGGACAGCTGGAGCTACAGGAAGACCCTGTCTCAAAAAAGCCAAAAAAAAAAAAAAAAAAAAAGTTCAAAAGCAGCCTGTGCTCCATAGTGCGTTCCAGGTAAGCCTAGGTTGCAATGTGAGAACCTGTCTCTAAAAACAACAACAATAATAACATCAGCAGTTCCTTAGCAGGGTTGTTGTGAGGAGGAAGTACATTTCTATGTGTTCTGAGCTTTGCACGGGGCATCAGCAAGGCCACTGCTCCAAAAATGGGGATGGCTGTGTTCTCTCTCCTTTTTGGAAGATAAAAAGGAAGTTCTCCAAGTAAAAGAGAGTAAGGTGGTGAGTCCTAGAGGCTGGGAAGGGCGGGGGGTACCTGAGGAGGGCTGGATAATGGGGACCAAAAACTTGTTTGGTAGGAGGAAGGATGTTCAGCCCTCTATGGCACTGGAAGGTGACTATAGTCTATAAGTAGCAGAGCTGCTGAAGGCTCTGGACACAAGGAACGACTAGAGGATAGAAATGCTAATGCCCTTGATCTGATCAGCACATACTGATTGCATGCATGCACTCCATAAATACGGAGTTATTACAAGTTCACTTTAAAAATAAAATTGTGTGTGTGTGTGTGTTAGTGTGTGAGTAGTGTGTATGAGTGTGCATGTATATGTGCATGCATGTGGAGAGGCCAGAAGTCAACTCTAGCTGTCATTCCTCAGGAGCCATTTACCTTGTTTGTTTTTGAGACAAGGTCCCTCACTCCTACCTGGGGCTTGCCACATAGGCTAGATTGGCTGGCCAGTGAGTCCTAGGGATCTGCCTATCTTGACCTCCCCAACGCTGGGATTACAAGGCACAGGCCATCACATCTGAATTTTTACATGGGTCTGGGGATCAAACTCAGGGCCTCCTGCTGATGTGGCAAGCACTTTACCAACTCATTATCTCCCCAGCCTCTAAAAATATTCTTAAAAAGAATAGAGGAGGGCTGGAGAGATGGGACAGTGTTTAAAAGCACTTGCTGTTCTTCCAGAGGACTCAAGTTCAACTCCTAACACCCTTGTCAGTTGACGCATAACTGCCTGTAACTCCAGCTCTGGAGGGTCTGATGCCCTCTTTTGGCCTTTGTGGGTACCTACACACACATATCTCTCT